CAACCCAGGGATTTTCCCCATTTTTGCCACCTTTCGATGTGCGTTCTGAGGGACACAAAATCGTACGAAAGCGGGGCATCGGGGGGGGGGGGGGGCGTTGACATAAACAAGACAATGGTGTGCTATCCGGCTTTCACATTACATTGGGACTGGGCAGCCTTTTTGAAGTTTCGAGGTACAAAAAAGAGCGCGGATAACCTCGGCCCCATCAACACCTAGGAAAAGAGGCATCGGCAGGGCGAGTGTGTTTCGAAGTTGTTGTGTACACGCCAGAATCTTGGTACATCTTGGTGCTGTGCCATGGTGACGACCCTCTGAGCTACCGCAGGTAAAGGGACCAAGAATTTCCGCGAAAAGCAATCGCCGCAGGGATGTTTGAAATAACAAGACGAAAACCATAGATCTTTCGGTCGTAGTTTAGACTACTCAAGGAAGCGGGGGAAGAATGAGAGTACAACACGGCACGACGGCACAACAACCAACAGAATGGCAACAACGGCATCTAATGGTCGCTGGGACAAGCCGATATGTGCTCTTGTACCCCCCGGCGGGGTGGACCTCACATTTTCGGGAACCCCCCCCCCTCCCCCCCCGATGTTTGTCATCGGGGTTGGGTTTTCGTCGCTTGGCAACGACGTGGTAAAACAAGCCCCCCCCTCGGTGTTTGCCATCGGGATTGGGTTTTCGTCGCTTGGCAACGACGTTGTAAAACAAGCCAATTCACTTTGTGAACTCGGCAACCAGGTTACCGTTTTTCTTTTTTACCTCTGTTTTTTTATTGCGGTAACCATAATGGTGGTCGAGTAGATCATGTTGTGCGGGTCGAGAACCCTCACTCCGCGCAAGGGGGATGATCGCACCACGTTGTGTTAAAATGGTCAAGCGTCCTCGAGGCAGTTACACAGTTCTTACAACTGTCTCTGGAAGTGAAAGCACCAGAAAATAAATTAAGTCATACGCAGCTGTCATCCGTACGCAAGGCAGTAAGCACAAGATGCCGAACACCCTTAGCAGGATGCAGCTCACCCTTCATGCGACTCGCCAAATACCTCACGGCGCTTCGCGCTTGGTGATGTGAGAGCCTGGTCCGGTGAGAACCCGGCGTGCTCCGTCCCAGCTTTGTAGGGATGCGAGGTCAATGGTCTAACGACTACGGCATGCACGACTATGAGTACACCCCCCCCTGTAAAGTAAAGTCAAAATGTACGGTAGGCTGAGGACCTGAAATAATCACCGCTATCAGCGGACGTCAACGTTGTTGGGTTAACTTCGGGGATTGTAATCTTTTGGAGAGGGGGGGGGGGGGCAACCCAGTGGGGGGGGCGACAACCCAAAAAAAATTGCAACCCCAGGCATGTATGTCCCCCTACACTGGTGTCCCCCCAAAACTAAGCCAAGCTCATGGAAAACTATTACATCCACGGCAAAATGCCCACAACTTCTTAGGTTAACCCTGACCATAACCCGAACCCGAACCTTTGCCTAGGTCCCACAGTCCCCCGACACACACATGAGGCGTTGGGAGATCAAAAATGAAACCATCGAGGCAGCCAACAACAGACAGCGAATACGCAGCCTACTCGCCTTTAAGCGCGATCTCTGCTCCACGAGACTGGTGAGCGAAGCTTGGCCTGTTTGCAGGTAATCACCGACCATTCTCCGCGACCTCAGCAAGGAGCTCCCCTCCTCAGCGTAGGCGTCCATCACCGATGATGGCAGAGCCTGGCCATTGATCATTGATCGAACGGGAAGAGAGAGTAAAGAAAGGCAAACGGTCGACTATCATAGTTTAATACCCAGCCTTTTGGGTAGTTGGCCTACATATAACAACGGACCACCACAACCGCGAGGGACCAAAACAAATGGAAGGGTCGCATGAACCACAGAATGCATACGAACAATGAAGAAAACATCTTGACTTTAGGGTAGTCAAGGGCAAGCATGACCTCCGACCTCTGCCGTGATGAGTGCATGGATATGGGTAAAAATGCCCTCTTTATTCGTGAGTGTACAGAACACAACCCCGTCAAGATAGAAATTCTCTTGACAAGGTTCCTCAACATGAAATTCTCTTGACAAGGTGCCGTGACTCGGACAAAGCGCCAAGGTGTGCGAGTTCCGTTGGCCCTACCATAGAATACTGCAAGGAGATACCTCCCTGACGTCCAAAACATTATGTGTGGGGAAAAACCAAGAACACTTGAAAACCTCCAATGTGTTTGCGTTGGGAGAGAGGTTCTGGATGAGGGATTGCGCGAGACGCGCAAAATACCATATCAAAACTTCCCTAGCTGAAAAGAAGGGTTTCAAATACAGAAATATGCATAGGAGACCGCAAGTGTTACGGGATACAGCAGTGGTCGCAACCCCCCTTCGACTTACTCTCGAAGCTCGAATGCGCCACCACAAAGAAGAGGTCAACCACCGTTTTCTGCATCGGCACCATCCTCACATCATCGCCCTCTTGGCTTTCTGTTGGGGGAATGCCAGCTACATACGATAGTCGGTCAGCTGGTGGTGCGATTTTCACAAAACTGCGTTCGCGCAACTCTAACCCTCCAGTATCCTTGGTTTGCAAAGACGTTGCACAACTTGCCTGGCACGAGGCCGTGGTACGATACCATAGCATGGAGGGATAATCGGACTGCAGAAACTCTTCAACAGCCTTAGCCATAACAATCTGCCGCAGCCCCATGTGCGGTGAATATGCGGGAAACCAAGAGACTGAAACCATGGTGCGCGTATTCAAGACGAGAGGATACAACCATGCTGCTCATGATACACGACAAGAGACAACACAGGAGCTGTTGCTGACTAAATAGCTATAGCACGACGAACGGAGGTCCCGTGTATGTAGCCAATCTTTAGATGGCGTTGCACCCCTGGGACAGACCGCGAAGAGGTGGCCAGAGGCATCAGTTCTGGGGGCACGAACTACTGCAGCTAAACCGCCCATGATCCGACAAACAGGCTGGGGGCTCAGATAAAAACACAGGTTCAAGTCCATCTCGTCTTCGCAACCTGCACCTCTTGACACTCCCCACCAGCAAGATACCCGTTATTGTAGCGCCAAGCGGGTGTCAGTATCCAGCCGGTTTTCTTGTTTTCTTCCCACTCACTGCTCTCACTAAGACTTTTATCACATCCCCTTCGACTTCACTTTGGTATTATCTCGAATGGGAAGTCTTTCTTTGATTGTATTGATATTTTCTAGACATCTACCAGCATCACTGGCTTCCGATGCGGCCGATCAGTTCTCCAACGATTTGGTATTCTTTTGCTCGAGGGACAACGCTGAAGAGCCGAAGTCGAGTCTCACCGCATGTCTTCGCGCCAACAGCTCCTCCCGTTCCTTGGCCTCCTGGCCGACCTTTCGCCGCCCTTGGTCGAACCTCCCCAGCTGATCTCGCAAGAAAGCGTGCTCGTTTCGCAATTCCCGGAGCTTCCTGGGATGGATGGGTGGCGGCGGCGATTGAGCGGCATTCAACGATCAGCACTACAGAGGGTGATGATAGCAGCACGACCGATAGGCACAAAAACAATTGCAGGCCACCTTGCTACTACTGCTGTCGTCAAGCACCTCCAATCTCGGCACCCATGTCAGGTCATCAGCTCTACATTAGCAAGCAAGCCAGTTGAACGGGGGTGACGCTGACTCTTGGACCTTGTATCCATGATGAGCAGCGTGCCATGAGATACGCACACCATACAATCACCCGCCTGTGCAAGCGCATCCACTCTCAAAATGTTTCTTCTTGACAACTCTTTCACCATGATACGTACGCTGCTGTAGTCTCGACGTCTAGACATTGGCTCAAACGAGACCCAACGATGCTGGGATACGACCATGTATGTAGATGAAGTGAAGATAGGTTGCAAGGACGTGAAGTGCCGGTCGCACACCTGCATTGTACGATTTTGTACTGCTGTGCATCGAGCAAATAAAAAAGTTGCTTATCTGCAACCTCGGTTGACCTGCATTGCACAAGAGTGCTCTCTACACTGCCCCGTACCCCCCTCAACACCTACATAATGCACTGCTGTCGACTACAGCAGTAGAGGTGCCTCTCCTCGGCTCTCTGTCGGAACATCTACTGCTCTGCACTGCTGTGTGTTTGCCCGCAGACTTGCTTGTAGTTATCTACGTACGCTGCATGTAAATACCATACCTTCGCCAATCTTCTCGCTGTGTTGGCCGCTCCTGCCCCACCAGGCTCTCCAACACGTCCAGCTGCCGGCCAAACTCCTCCAGGTTCATGCCGGCATCGTCGGGGCTCGCGTGTCCTCTCTCGACGTACTGCAGCAACGTCCGCAGATCAAACGACAACCTTCTTGCTTTCGGAAACAGCTCCACGATTGACGTCATGTCGTCTCATCCACAACCGATCTATCCCGATGATCCCTGCAAGAACAAACGAGAGCTCTTGAGAGAGTGCACTCGAGAGTAGAGGACAAGGTTAGAGGTCGACCTGATCTCTCGCTCGGGCGTAAGTTGTACCAATCAACAACTGACACTCCGCGAAAGGGCTCCGCGGAAGGGCTCCGCGGAATGACAAGGGTACCTGTTCAGAACCTATTTCCGCTTTGCGGGGCCTCTGCCCAATTCCTCCGCACTCTTCGACAGTCCGTTCCCAAAACCACGAAGACACGACACACGGGCCAGTATGCCGGAGTTTACGGGCGTCGGGAAGCACTGCGGAGCAGAGAACTGCAACCAGCAGGACTTCCTGCCGTTCGAGTGTGACTGTTGTAACGGTGAGAGGAGAGTTAACGCTCTACACCACGAATAGTTGGTTGACAACAGCAGCAGCATATTTGATGTGTGTGAGGCGTTCTAAACGTTCCCAAGTCTACTTTCGAGTCATTTAGGCCCCTCTCGCAGTGTTCCAGTATGCACCTCAACGCCTGTAGCGTTCACGACTTCAGCAGATGGCAAACTACATCGAGATGAAAAGTAAGAGTTTAGGCCGTTCACAACCAGGCCAACAACAACACACAATACACACTGCTGTTGCTGCCGATCGCGATGGCACAGGAGCCCTGATCAGCAGGTAAAGTCTTCGTACAAACAGTCGGTGTCGCCCCACACAGCTCGCATTGTACTCATAGCTCTACGTGAGCCTCAAGGCCGGCTTCTGTGCTACAGCTGTCTGGTGCTCCCCGGCACACACAATGTTCACCAATGTCCTCGGGGTCTACCACCCCTTCGGTGCTGCTAAATACTGCTGTGACAAAGAGATGGCGGTATAGTTCTGTTTCTCACCAACCACATGCAAACCGCGTTCTGAAAATTCTCGTCGAGTTACAGAGTTACTTCCTGCCCTGTATCATATGGACACGCAAGCATTGCTCTCAGTAAGATTATGCATGTATGTGGGCATTTCTATTTCTATGCACAGCAGCGCTTGGACCACATTAGACTACCTGTAGGTGACATGACACAAGATACAACCCCCCAACTTCGAAGCTCGATTTCTCCACGACGGGGTGCGGAAATCAAATATTATGTTTTCGGAACGCTGTCGACAAACGGCTCCCACACAGTCATTTTTGAAAATCGGTCCAGGGGGTATCTTGTGTATCCTACGGTAGTCTGCGGCGAGGGTCTGTCAATGAGTCTGCAACAGCTCCCCCTGTGTATTGAGATGTCTCGATTCCGTGAGTAGCCTACATGTTGCGTATCCACAGAAGAACGCAGAGGTGGCAGAGCGTTCGGTGCGTGATTCGATGAGCGGTAGTCGTGTGCTCGATTCGATACGAAGGCCGGAGGTATTCAAGGCTGTGATGGCGCCGCTGACTCCGCCGCTGGCCGTTGATGGTGGTGCTGTTGGTGGAGTTCGTCGTTTCCGACCCTCCACATACTGATGACGACCTACATCATGAAACCCAGGTGCACCTGCACTACTCAGTCGCCAAGCTCGGAAGCGGCAATTTCTTTTCCTCGCGCAGCGCCGAACGCGCCAAGCTCGTCGTTGCGAAAGCCGCGTTTTGCTTCAAATGTGATGTGCCCAGATGAAAGAAAATTCCGCGGTCTCTGTGAGGATCACCCGTGATGAACAACATTTTGGCACTTGAGTGTCGGTCCGGGAGGGAGAATTGTGATATTTTCTATGCGTACTACCATTGAAACAGTCGAAATAGCTCTTTCCCTCTTGTGAGTAAACAAAGATGGCGATGCTCGTGTTTGCCCTTTTGATTGTCGTGGGTACCCTGCCACAGGCACGTTCTGTCTATCGCACCGAAGCTACGCGGCTCACTCATGCGCGGCATCTGGAAACAAGGACTTTCGAGCCCTGGTGTGTCCCCTCTGCAAGAAGACAGTTCGCTTCAACGGGGGCCAGGACCCCAATCAGCAGTGAGTATATAATACGGCATCGCCCCACGCAATCCCTCGCCCCCTAGCCCCTCTGCACCACTCGGGGTTAATGTAGACCTTAGGGACACAATGCTTACTATTGTCATGTTGTGGAATTGCGGTTGTGCTGAATGGATGGCACCGCCCGATGGTTGTTTGTCAAGCGTATTTTTTGCCGTCGCTGTCCTTTCGAACATGGAGCAACGAGAGTAAATCGCGCTCTGTTTTTGTCTCGTGTGTAAGACAAGGCAATGAAATTGTGTCGCACCGCTGCAGCGTAGGCCTCATTCGTCGGTCCCAGAGCTGCTGCTTTGGCCGATCTCGTGTTTGACTTGCTACGTGACAGCAAGTGTTGCTTTCATAAGTAAAGGCGAAGCAAAATTCAATCGTTCTGTACTCTACACGCATATGGAGTGAATCACATGCCAACCCGTGTTGCCAGTTGGTTCTGCAGCGAGCAATAGGCTCTGAAAAAGGTGCCGACGCTGACGGTTCTGCGGAACCCCCAAGTCACGCGCTACTGGTGTAGTTGCTCATCGGAGGCTGCTATTCTGAGCTGCTTGTGGCGTGGTGGTGCCGCGTTTATGGCGTTTGCTGGTTGTTTTTTTGCCGTCGTTTCGTGCTTGCTCTCTGCCCCATGTGCGTGTCCTCGAATCTACACCAGGCACATTAAGTTGTATTTTTTTTGTCGTTTACACATGAGGTGGTCAGCGGCTTTCATGACCTTGCTGTGCCTGGAATCGGAAGGTTGCTGGTCTGCGGTTTTGTTTTTCGGTGCTTGTTGATGTTTCATCGTCTGCCCTTTGTTGTGCTTTTTTTTTTTTTCCTGGATCCGAGCAGGTGGGATTTGCACACGAGAACAGACTGCAACCCCGAGGATTACAAGAGGGCCAAGCAGACAAAGAAGAGGTACGGCGGGAGGGGGGTGTTATCTAACGTATTCGTGACCTAGCCTTTTGACCACGAACCATGCGCCGCTTGCGCGACGGAGCACCGCCGTAGGCGCGATCGAGGTAACACACGATTTTCTTCGCCTCGCAAGCCCTCCTGCCGCTGTTGACGTACGCGACGAATCCCCGTTTTTTGTTCGTCACATCCATCGTGACCTCTCAAGTAAGAAGTTAGCGTTTCGAGCATCCCTTCCTGGGTCCCTTACCGCACCGTCTATGTTGTCACCCTTCTTGTCGGCGCGGCATCATGAGGATGATTGGTAACAACCCTAACCTTTGACAACCTCCGCGGGAACCTGAATATAACTACTATAATCTTTGCTTTTTCTGGCGAGAGTTGCTCCCGTCTTTGCGACCTACGGCATGGCGGTGCCCATCATGCACAGCACTTGCCGTATAACAGCATCGTGCGTGATTCTGCCCATCACATCCCGCAATTGTCCTTCGCACAACAGATGTGCAGCGGCGAGCTGTCGAGTGGTACTCGGACCAACGAACACACAACGGTGTGCCAGCTGCGGCAAGGAGACGTGCTTGACACACAGGTTCCCGGACAGGTCCGTCATGCCTCCAAACATCCTTAAACACATTTCCTGATACGACTGTGCGACGTCGGTTGTTGAGAGCCAAGTGTTCATGACATGATGGAATACCGAGTCACTGATCCCGTCTCACACGAAAGGGATAGGGACCACCTCCTGTCGAGGTAGCGTTCGGGTTCTTAATACGCTACCGCTGCAACATGCCCGAATGCAGAGATTCTGGTGACTCGTGTCGCACGCCGTATTGCGCGATTGCCGTGCTCAAACATCATCCTCTGACATCCACAATGGCGCAATTATCACAACCCTACTCACGTCAATAGAACGAGTGTCTCGACCTCGAAACCAATTCGTTCATGGGCACGACGACGGGCATTCGCGGTATGTAACCGTTCTCGTTTGCTGTCGCCGTCCATCGACACCCCAGTCATAACTGCAGCGCGTCCAGCCGTGGCGATGCGAGGGGTTCCGCAGCGGCCGCTGCTGCTAGGCGAATGGCAGCGCAGGCGAACCAATCGCGTCCGATGTCGCTGAGGGAAAAGGCAGCACAGAACAGGGCCGCCGCATCGTCCCGCCGCGACGCTGACGCGAACACGGCCCGGGTGAGACAGGCGTTCTTCGATGCGTTGTTGTGTTGTTGTGTGGGTCTTCTGGGTCGCTGGTGGCTGCGTTGTCTGTTGGTTGGGTTTTGGTTGGGGTAGACGACAACTCACAACTCCTTGGCAATGGGGCACGCACGACAGCGCAAACAGCAGTGCAGGTATGTGTATGTGTCACCCGGAGCACGATTGCCGCCATGGAGAGACCGAAATATCCATCTTCGGTGTCCCAGTTTCGCATAACGTGGTTTTGGCTGACGCGGGTGTGCGAGTTTTACAGCTTGAGCGGGGACTGCAGTCGACTTCCTGCTTGTCAACCTCTCTTTACACCGCTAGGATCCGAACGGGATCGTGCTGACCTAGTACGATGCGGTCTTGTTATGCTGCAGTACGCCGCGGTGACTTACACGCCAGTCAGTAAGAACGGACACCCGGCAAGTGCACAAGAGTGTAGTCGAGCACCCTCGGAAGTGTAACTGAAATGCCCGGACTGTGGTGTTCGCAGGGGTTTCCGTGATCCTTCAGCGAAACGTCAAACCCTTGTGCGGGTGCTTGGCGGTGGTGCGGGGAACGTAAGTCCACCTGAGCCTATGCCACCCGCGCCAATTCTCCTCCAGCACGCTCTTGGCCGAAGTGGTGGCGGTGTTCCAATCACTCCAAGGCCTGTGTAGAGTATTCCTTGGGCTTGCTTGACCTTCGACAATAGTGAAATATACTCTCACGGAAGTTTCTCGTACCAGTAGCCTTCGTCCTCCTAGGCTTTGTCTTGCGTTGACGGCGTGCAATGACATCTGTTTTCGAAGTGGTAGCATGTTCTGGTCTGGCGTTACTCGACCGACACCGTTTCTGCGAGTCGTTTCCGGCAGCTTGCACGGAAAGATCTACTTAAGAGCTGCAGGGTATTTGGTAGCAAAGACACGATAGTTCTTCTGCAAGTCACCCCTCCAGTCTAGGTGTGTAGCTATTCTGAAGGTGTTGTGCTTACGGCACGTCTTGTTCGATTGTGGAAACGTTGTGCTTCCCTAGGTTCTTCCGA